TCCGATTACATGGAGTTCGGGATGGATCTTTATTCGGGTTGGGTTCGAAAACATTGTGCCTGGGTTCGAAAACATTGTGCCATATATGCATAATAGAGCACAAAATTAAGAACACCTTAAACATGTATGTAAGAACACCTTAAACTTGTATGTACTAGGTTTAAAAGAAGCAATACGAAGATCCTTCATATTAATAACCCGATTGAACAATATAATTAATGTTACAAAACAAAATGTTAAGGTAAAAAAAAAAATATTAAAAAAAATAAATCAAACAATAGAAAGAGACAAGGGGATGTGAACTCATTGCATGTGCCATGAATCATGATTTATATACTATGTCCATAAACAAAGGCATTCCACTCACTTTTCAATGGTTTGTCAATGGTGAAATTTGTCCTCTTGCTACACTTTATTAGAGCATTTGATGCCTATGTTGTCTTTCTAGTAATAAGTACCAATAGTACTCTTTGACCACAACACCAAAAACTAGGTTCACTAATTGTATGTAACTTCTCCTATTTTGACAAGTAAAAAGTGACACCTTTGAATAAAGTATGGTACTCATAGTGGTGTAAACAAGTTGAACCGAGTTTGGCCTCGCTCAACTTGTTAAGTAAACGAGCCAAAAATCGAGCTCAAGCTCAGTCAACTTATCAGTGTTAACGAATTTAATTTTGAATTTTAACGAGCTGATCTTGAGATTTAACGATCTTAGTTTTACAAAATTAAATAAAAAAAAATATTGAGCCTTAAAGAGTCGAGTCGAACCTGACTTGTAAATGAAACGACCTTTCATTGAGCTTGAACTTAGCTCATTTATCGCAAGAGTCAAGTCGAACTCGAGCATTAACGAGTCAAGGCGAACTCACGAGCAACTCGTTCGATTAACAGCTCTACTCATTAGTTCGTGGTAAACGGTAATCCAAATGGTCTTCTTTTGCAGTTAGAGATATATCTATCTATAGAATCTTTTGAAGATAAATATGATATCAAATACCCAATTTTCACTATTTGTTACTTTGATATCATCTATCTACACATTTCTAGTTAAATTGTAAGACTGTTGTTAGACATATCCAATTGTTAGGCGCTTGGGCGCCACTTGATATATCCACTCAAGCAACATCTAATTGTCTGAGCACCTACACAAAAATCGAGGCCCTCGGGTGCTGACGAACGCCTACACTTGCGCTTAACTCAATCTTTCCAATTGTGCTTTCGTATCAAGATGTCACGTTTCTTAAAAATAAGTAAGTATGACATTTCATTTTGTAAAAATGTCGATTTTCTAAAAAAAAAGAGACGGATCAACCTATTCAATCGTTACATTTCCTAGTGTAGATTAGTATCTATTATTATTATTATTATTATTATTATTATTATTATTATTATTATTATTATTATTATTATTATTATTATTATTTAATAGGTGTCTTAGAGATAAGTTAGAATTTAATATTATTGTTTAAAAAGTGATCTTGTCTTGTTGGACAAGTTAAGGTCTAGGGTTAGGAGCCTTATTTAAAGGGCACTTTTGCTTTGTTATGAAATGGTTGATTTTGAATGATATAAGATATTGTTGAGTTTTGCGTGTTTTACGAGAGAGTATCTCGTTTACTCGTTTATCCTTCCCACTCGTACGCTTCCCCTACATAAGTTGGTATCAAAAGTCAGTACGATTCACGATGTTGTCGCGAAGACAAGATGCTGCAAACGACAGACGTGTCGCCGCCATCTACAACCTGAGCCGCCGGACCGAGTGGTTTGGCCGCCAGCTCAAGATGATGGGTCTTCAGATTGCAGATCTGTCTACTGAGATTGGGGACATACGTCTAACTATCTGTACCATGGTTCGAGACAAGCAAACGTACCGTGACGCCGGCAATCCAGGCGTGTGCAGGAGAATTCGCGGAGGACGTGGAGGCCGTGGTCCAGGCGGGGCGCCCCGTCGGGGATCTCTGCAACCACCGTCCGACGACAAAGACGGTGAGGAGACAGTCTCGGAGGTGAATCCCTTCGACGATTTTCCACCCCCGACCGTCGAGTTAAACCCCTTTGCTGCATATGGCGGAGGTGACATGCGGCGACGGGGCCCAGTCTTTGTGGACGGCGGCGATCAACGCAGCGATAGGAGCTAGCGCGAGGAGGCAGCCTTCGCTGGCGAATATATATCGTGCCCGACACGATTGGAGACTTGATAGCAAATATGGTCAATGGGAGGGTCTGTTTCGCGTTGACATCCCCGAATTCGACGACGAGCAAGTTGACGGACCATTGTACGATGGTCCACCGGTGTTTGATGAAAAACCCGAGGAGGTGAAGGAGCGTCTTACCGGTGAATTGGACAGTCTCTACGACGGTCCGCCGATTTTCGATAAGCAGCCTCTGGGCCCGAAGGAATTCAATCATGTTTCGAGTATCGAAATTCAACTGTTGGAAGAATTTGGTGTTCGATCGGTAGTTATCCTATTGCGTAGGCCCGAGATTTTCTCCAATGGGAATTTGTTGCGACCTTGCAAACACATGCTATTTTTTGGTCCCCACGACGACTTCAAAATTCTGTGTGTGGCTACTGCATATATGTCTTTCCAAGGGGATGATACCATGAGGGTGCGACATTCATCCTAGTGTTCGACCGGGGGAAACGACGAAGGTTTCCTACTATGTGTTCTACACCACACACCGATCACGGGAGCGCAACGGCTTTGAGGGCGAAGCCTTCCGAACGAGAGGAGAATAGTGTAGATTAGTATCTATTATTATTATTATTATTATTATTATTATTATTATTATTATTTAATAGACGTCTTAGAGAATAAGTTAGGATTTAATATTATTGTTTAATAAGTGATCTTGTCTTGTTGGACAAGTTAAGGTCTACGGTTAGGAGCATTATTTAAAGGGTTCTTCTGCTTTGTTATCAAATGGTTGATTTTGAATGAAATAAGATATTGTTGAGTATTGCGTGTTTTACGAGAGAGTATCTCGTTTACTCGTTTATCCTTCTCACTCGTACGCTTTCCCTACATCACTTCCTCACACAAAATTTTTTGTTTTTAGATTGCCTTATAGTATCTCCATGGAGACACTCCAACCACAATACCTAAAAAGTGCCTCCCCTCGTTAAATTGATTGTGATTATATCTCACCACTTTCTTTATAGTTCTTAGATACAAAATTGTATTGTGCAGCATCAATTATCATACATACATCACATTCACATTCACACGTACGCTTTCATCTCGTTTACTCGTTTATTCTTCTCACTCGTACGCTTTCCCTACATCACTTCCTCACACAAAATTTTTTGTTTTTAGATTGCCTTATAGTATCTCCATGGAGACACTCCAACCACAATACCTAAAAGTGCCTCCCCTCATTAAATTTATTGTGATTATATCTCACCACTTTCTTTATAGTTCTTAGATACAAAATTGTATTGTGCAGCATCAATTATCATACATACATCACATTCACACCACACTAGTTCTAATTTGGGATCCTTGTTTGAAAAAACCCACAAGACAGCTAACAAATTTAATCACCAAACCAACAAAGTAGATGTCAAATAGAGGTTTACACATCATATGTTTGCCAATTTATATGCTTTTATTATGCAATAAATAAGAAAGTGTGCCCCTTTTATGGCTTATGTACACTTGCACATCACAGGTCATATGGTGAACCCCACATAGGGATAGCCTAAATCAACTCTACAAGCAGCTATTTTTTTTTTTTTTTTTTTT